AGTTACAACTAAACTAAATAGAAAATAAACCACACTTGCCTATATATAGTCAAGCAAAGAATCGAATTTTAAACAATTATCCAATTTGCAGCCAAGCATTGATGTGTAATTATACAACTTTCTAGTATGCACAGCTCGTGAGTAACTCGTCAACTTGAAAATAGATTACACACTACGTGGGCAAATATAAGTAATTCGCTCCCCGTTTTGGTGTGTAATACCCCCGTGGAATGGAATAGTGTGTGGGATGGTGTGTGTGTGTGTGACTGGGTATTTTTTTTTTCTGACCACTCTCCAAGACCAAGACTTGGGTAAACAAAAACAACAATAAAGACAAAAACAAAAAAAACCAACTAGAGAAAAGAGGCAGCCACCCACTGGAGTGGGAGTGGGTGGCCTTCGTTTTGTTGTAGCTCCAATTGACGTCACGCAGCTGCTTGACTTTTGATGTTTGCCTGTGGGCACAATACAACAACAACAGCAACAACAGTCCATAAAACTGGCCTTGGGGCAGCAGGGTAAGTAACGAAAGGTGAAGGGGTATGGGGTATGGGGGAAAAAAATTGTTAAATCGATTAAAGTCAAAGTTTTGTGAGATACTCCGCTAGAGAGGGGAGGGCGGCTGAGGTGCGTGAGGCAGGCCGCCAGAAAGTGAAATAGAGTATCTGGGAAGAAAACCACAGCACAGCAGCCAGATAATGCCAGTGCCCATCAGCCAGTCAATCATGGCACTCACACCTCCATTCGCACTGCCACTGCCACATCCACTCGGAGTACCACTAAAAAGCAAAGTTTCGCAATCAACAAAAGTTAAAAGTTACCAACGTACTAGAAAAGTTTTTCTAATTAGTAGAGACTCGGGACCGCAGGTGTCATCAGCAGGCCAAAGAGCCACAAGGCGTCATCAAATCAAACTTATTTTGCATTCACATATAATATACGTACTATACCGGTATTAATATTTAGGCATGATATGGTGATAAGCCAAGACTTTAGATACAAGTTAGTCCACAGCGCCACAAAATGCGTCAGCGGGCGCAGGCGATAAGATATCAGAAGCGGGGGATTTGAGATTGAGACAGACCCGAGACGGGAGAACTAACTCACTGGGTCAATATGTTCACAGAAAAAAATGGAAGGTTTTTCAGGGTTTCTTAAGGAAGTTAGTGGACGGACTAGTGAGAGCTTACAGTTTATAACTTATAGGTCATAGGAATATATATGGTAGCTTAAGAACTGGTTAAAGAATGAGACTCGACATGAAAATAAAATGAAATATTAAAATTTTGTCTAAAAATAATATGCTGGATGTTTCCCCTTCAAAAAGACAATGATACAATAACCAAGTCTTGTATTTGACCTTTCAACATTCAGTGCTGCAAAGCGTTAAGTGATTTGACATACAAATAGGTAAATATATTTCTACCTTTAGCTACCTTTTTTTTAATTTTTGATGCAAGCTCAAGATTTGGGAAGTTCAATTTATGAATATAAGTGGACCAACAAAGCCAAAGTCCTGGCTTTGATCTTCGTTTCACCGTTTAAGGGTTAACCACACACTTGTTAGTCAGCATTGTTTAACTCAAAACCTGTCATTAGGTTCAGGAAATGGATTTGTTAAAGAGAACACTTTCAAGTAATTGTATCTTGGAAAATACATTAAAAAAGTATTTCGTAGAAACTTGATACTTTTTTTGATACTTTTTCAAAAACAAAATTTTAGTTTGGCATTTTTCCAACACAACCAGAATGGTATTGAGTTTTATGTTTTGGAACTATATTTTACTAAAATAAATGTAATATTTCCCAGACATAGCGCTCTTCCAATCCCGGTAGTTTGATATATTTTATAAAACATATTATTTTAATAATATTAGTCCAATAAAAAGAAACCAATAAAGACCCCTGATTTATTGAAACTCAGTTCTCAAAATGAAAAGCAATGCAATATTTTGGATGGACTCTGTATGCCAGACCCTGGTGACATGGGAACACATGTTCCACATCGAATCATTTTCTTTGCAGATCCTATGCGTGGGAGGTTTTTCTCATTTTCCGGCGAACTGCAGAGCCAAAATGCTATGCATATTAAGACACACACCGACAAAGACACGCCGAATTTATGACTTTTCGCACAAAAGCACAAAGCAAGGCGAAATGTATCAACTCGAAATTTACGACTAATAAACCGCAGCCAGCGGAGAAATGAAAATGAAATGAAAATGCGGCCAGCCAGCCAGTCGGTATTGTTCACATTCGGCCGATGACACATTTCAGTTTTCGGTGGACAGGCGGCGTCATCAGGCCCCCCACTGGTGAGGAGAAGTGACAGACTTTGGCATATTGACAGTCAACCCTTGCGAGGAAAAGTGAACTGAAACTCGAGCTGAAACTGAAATCAGAAAACTAATTCTCCAATAGATTGTTACTTAATTGGCTTACGCTGCGTATACTTAATCTATTTTGAACTCTGTCAACTAATAATAGTTTTTTCCCTCACGTGCCGCTTCTGGTTATCTTGGCTCCACAACTTTATCGTTTGGCCACTATATATATACGTATATCTATGCTTGGAATATACTATATATACACACATATAAGTATGTATATGTGTGGGAAAAAATAAAACTTAATCTAGATAAGTTTCCACACAAAATGCTTGGCAGGAAAAGCCAATGGAAACTTTGGCCCTGCCATCAAGGCGAAATGCGGTTGCCCTCCTAATTAGTTCGAAAAGGTCTTAGCCGGCAAACTGCAGAAACAACAAAATAAATAATAACAATATAAAATAAAACAAAATAAATAAATAAAAAAAAAAAGGACGAAGGATAAAGGATAACTAGAAGAAAACTCTACCAAGTTTGTGTAATCAAATGAGGAGGGAAACTGAAGCTGGAGTATAAAGAAGCTTTAACTTTTAAGTTTCAGAGCTAGTATTCAGACCAGATCTATTACCAAATTATCTCTCATAGTCCTCATCCAGCTCAGACCGTCTCGTATCGATTTTCTTCGTATAATTGCATCGCCTTGGCTATTGAAGAGCTGGCGGCCCAGAAATCTGAATAGAAATCTGGAAACGCCTTGGCACATACTACAAACGTATATATATGCTTTCCTGCTTCTAGAACGAAGGTCGTAGCTTTTATTGGCCATTTTCTTATTGGCGTCTTTCCTTTTCGGCCAAACAACAATTAAATTTCTGCTGTGTGAATATTTCTTTTCATTTCGCTTCTCGTTTTTTATTTTCTTTGATTGGAGCCCAGAGGGAAGTGGGTCTAAATTATGATTATTTATTCAGGCGGGCCACTGGAAATATTTTGGCCACTTTATGCGCAATAGCTTTCCCAGCGTCTGACTCACTTTGGGCCCACTTTTCGAACATGAATCCCCATCGTATTTACACATAATTTATCAACATCCGTCAAATTATGGCAAGTTGGCAAGTGTATGCACCGGACGCCCGCCACTAATTAATTAATATCATCAATTCAGATTTGATTTAGTTTTGATTTAGTTTGGGGCCAAGTTTTAAGTTGTTTTCCTTGTTTGGCGTCGGACAGGTAGGCAGGCATGCAAATATTGCGCATACGCCGTGTTGTTTACACGATGCGTTCTGCTTTCTATTTTTGTATTTTTGAATTGCAAAATTAATTGCGAATCAGAATTGAAAAACAATTTTCTCTGCCAATTGTTTGGCATAATGGAAAAATGGAAAATCCGTAAAAGTATGAGAAATAAAAGATGTATATCGGAGCAGGGCGGAGGGAGAAACAAAGCGAGGGCGGCCGGAGGACAATAAAGAAATGCTATTCTGCGCCTTTGTCCTTTCGGTTTTATGATGAGTTTTTCACGTGCCGTTATTCACCCTTGTCACTGGCAGGTTCACCAAGAACTGTATAAAAAATAACCCCCGAAAAAAACAGCAGCAACATGAAAGGAAAGCAAAGGACTCTTGTCAATAAAAATCCCTTTAAGCCGTGTTGCAACTTTTTTTTATTCTTGGGGGGCGAATAACTAAAAATGTATGAGGGTTTTTTTTTAGAAAATATATTATTGGTGACCAGAAAACGGCCTTTAATGGATCTGCAGAGCAGGAATGAACGGTGCCTGGGGTTGGGGAAAAATCAATCAATAAACGAGGAATCCCAGCTGGAGCGGCGCAGAACTAAGCTGGGCCATAAGCTCCACGGGTCCAGGAAACGTGAGGACATGACAGGAATCTGCTGTCGTCCTACGACAATGCAGAGTGGGAATGGGACAGGATAAAGGACAGGCAGAGGGTGGCAGTGGGCGGTGCTCAGTGGAGGGGCTAGTCCTCGCCTTGGGCCATTGAATCGAATACCCATTGAAGTCGGCGAGAAGTCTCCTCCCAACTTGGAATCGAATTGGGAAATTGTGTGTTTTGCTGTTGATGGATGGTTGTCTCTGGACTTTCTTGCTTAGTTTTTTGTGTTTCTTTTGGCCAAATACACGGAGAACTGAATTAATTAGAAGTGGACTTGAAGGCGATTGGCATTTATTTATCAACGAAATCCTTAGATAATCTCGAGTAGGAAAGTAGTGCAGCAGGTGCTTTAAGACTTTACCTTCCTATAGATAAGATATTTCAGTTTTACAATTATTTTACTTTTACATTTCAACAATCAGTTGTATTCAGTTTTTATGGCCCAGTTTATGGGCCAAGAATGTGCCTCTGAAACTTGGCCAGCTCATTTGTGAATATCTGTTTGGGTTCCTGAGGCAGCACAGACAGCACAGCACCCCTTTCACCTTGCCCACCTGCCGGCGGTGGCTTATTTAATTTTTTGTTTGCTCTCGAGCTGTGTTTGTGTTTGTTTATCAACCAATGCCAACCCTTGAGCAATTGATAAGCGCGTGAAATATTTAATCGCGAGTCGGGAGACAAACAGAATGGGAATCGAAATGCCAAGTGGAAGTGGGAAATTGAAAGCCACAGCCGTAGCCGTAGCCGTAGCAAGTCGAATCGAATCGAAACTCACCTGACTCTTTGTTTCGCTGTCACCTGGTGGTGGTGCTGCTGACGATGTTGGTGGTTGTGGTGGTGGTGGTGTAGGTGGGCGAATATCCTTTTCCACCAGCTACTGCTTCTGCTCCTGCCTCGGGCTTGCTCCTTATTCTTCTGCTTGTGCTTCTGGTTCTTCTTCTGTTTCTCCTCTTCTGGTTTATTTCTTTCTGGCTATGGCTCTGACTACCTCTCCTCCTCCGACTGTTTGCTCTTTATGGCTAAAACCAAATTTAATTTGTTACTCGCGTTGTTTGATTTTTCTTTTTTTTTTGAGAGGGAGGTGGTTGGATGGTTGCCGCTCTTGTTGCTGTTGTTGTTGTTGTTGTGGATGGTGTTTTTGTTGCGGCGGCAACTCTAATATTCCGAGCAGTGACTTTGATGTTTCGAGTACAGAAATTCGTTATTAATTTTGATGGAAAAAGCGTATTTGCTGGGATTTTAATGATTTCTCCCTTCCCCTTAAAAAAACCATATACTGTTCTTCCGTTAATGGTTCACCAAACATTTAAAATAAAATACCAATCGCTTTTAAAAAATTCCCAATTGCAAAATAAACAACAACATCATTTTCCAAGACTTTTATTTTTAGTTTATACCGTTATACAAACTGTAACGCGGGTGAAGTAAAGAAGTAATTAAGCTAATTGGAACTGCGTACGGCGCATGTTTATCAATGATTTATGTTTGCGTCCAGAGCGCTTCTCTATCTGCTTCAGTTTTTCTGTTTAAATAAAACATTTGCCCTTTCTTGCAGGTTTCTGCCGTGTAATTGTTTAATTAATTGTACCGCCAACCTGCCCGCGTGTGTGTGCACAAAATAATTTTTCGCTTAAATAAACAATTCATAGGTATGTACATACAAAATATATATGTATATATACATTTTTTCCATCGCAATTCGTTGAGGTATGCATACGTGCGTGTGTTTCTTGTTTATTTGCTTATTTTTTACTTTTTTTATTTTTGCTTGCGTTCGACTCCTACATACACTGGCCCACACAGCATTGCATTCAGAGTTTGGCAAGAAAACCGCCGACTTGCCGATTCTGATTGGCATCCGCTGGCTTAGAGTGGGCGCCCGTGACCCAATTTCCAATCAGACGTTCTCGATATCGGAGTATCGATGCACTTGCCAGTCTCTGCTTTGAAAAAAGCCACCCGGTTCAAAGGTGTTAATCACTGGTAATTGCAATTGGCCGATGTTAGAGGTTAATTAATTAATTCGATCAAATGATTAGGCGAAAGTAATTTGCGGGAGAGGCCGAGATCGCATCTGGTTTGCCGATGGCCTGCGCTCAAAAACCGGCATTTGAATCATATGCGCACTGCCAGGCCCCCTTCTCTCCCTCCACCACCTAGCATTGGAGATCGTCCTAGCACCCCCCTCGTGTTTATTGATTGTCATACCCCACCCCGCCCCCACCGAAAAAAACCTTGCATCAACAACAACAACAACAACAGCAGTAGCAAGTACGGCCAAGAGCCGAAGCAGCGCGCAAGCCAAAGTGATAGGTAGATTTTCGTATGTATGTATATTGTATTTCGGTGGGTGGTTGGCTTCGTTCGGTTAGTGGCGGGAGTAGGGAGGGCGCCACCTCCACCACCTGCCGCCCACCGCTGCCACCCCCTACACTCTCCTCGTGTGCATTTCGGCCTCGTTTTTTATTACGCGCACGTAGTGTAGCTTTTTTTTTGCCTGCTCTCTCACATTTTATTTTTTTTTTTCTTAAATTTTTTACATACACTTGCACAATTGGAGTGGGTGGCGCAGCGGGGGCGACAGGGGGCTGCACGCGAAAAATCTCTAATGATTTTTGTAATGTAACTGGAGTTTATTGGCGAGCGCACTGGCTACTCGGTCTGACTGTAATTACATTTTAATTTTTAAACGCACGCAGAACGCGATTTTTTTCACTTGCGTCCGCCGAGGCACACGTTACTGTTAATACTGGATTCTGATTGGAAATACCGAAATGCCAATAGGTCGGGTCCGGCAACTCTTATCAGCATTTACAGTGCTATGTTAACGTGCTGTTAATATTGTGAATGCAAGCTTTTATCGATATTTTTTGGTTGTTGGTGACAAAATTTTAGGAAAACAAATAAAATTTGTTAAAACTATTGTGTTGTTTAATAAATTAATACTGATCGTGAAAAACAGCCAAATTTGACAGTATTACAGCCTGGAAGCGGCCCAGGTACTGGCAGTATTAAAAAGTATTTAAATGTAGTTCTTTGTTTTTAAAGCAATGGGAATTATATTAATTCCGTGTCTCAGGGATTAGGCTGAGATAGCTTTTTTTTTGTTTTTGTTTATTATTGCTGGCGAGATTGTTTTATCTCCGCATTATTACGCACACCAGCAGAAACATTCTCGCTTTTTTGTTTGCATTTAGATAACAGTACGTCCGTTTTATGCAATACGAAATTAGAAATAAATAGTTTAATGGTTATTAAGAAAAGTGGGAGTGTTTTTTTGTGGATTCGTAAGAGGGGAAAACTTTTAAAATTTCTTGGATTAAGCACACAAAATAACGTAAGTAATATTATGATTAAAACCATTTCCAAAATGTAAAAAAAAGATACATTAAAACATACTTTTAAAACTTTAAAAGCTAGTTGACTTATTTAAAGGTTTGAAAAAGGTCTATTCCAAAAGTCCAGAAAACTTATCTCGATATCGGGATCAACAAATATTTTTCATATTCATTAATCAGTCATATTTTTAAAGCCATTTTAATTTGTATCGCAGTGTTGTTGGTATTATAAAATGGGTCTTATTTTCTGAATTAAAATTCTTTAAGAACACTAAAACATATTTTTAATATTTTTTGACTTTGTGGATCGTTTCTTTCTTTAACATTAATTTGTCAAAATTGAAAAACTTAAAAACATTAAAAAAAAACATTGGCGCCAAAGCTTGTGATTTTTGCGGTGAGATTTATCTTAAAATTGTTAACAAAACAAGAAAGCTTGAACATGTAATTTAATTTTCAAGGTATGTAAAATAAATGAAAAACTCTTAATTCTCAGTACATGTAATTTTTAAACCAATTTTTTATCCAATAGCATCCTCGTTAAGAATTGAGTATCCTAAAGGTTGTATACCAGGGGAAAAGCCTAGTCGCGATAATTAGCCTAAAGCCTAAAGCGACAAATAGCATTGGAACTGGTCAATGAAACAGAAAATTTAGTGTTACTATTGTTGCAAGTGCCTTTTAATTTACATTTTAACCAACATTTGCCATTCAAATTTATAAATTTAAAATTACTTTTTTATTGCCGGCGTTGCCAGAAAATTTCTGAAAAAAATACCCTAAAAAATCATATTTTCGACGTCACTGGCAACCCTAGCCATATCAACCAGGGTTTTTTGTTTATTGCAAATTGCAAAAATCCGCAATCGGGAGATAGTACGACAAAAAATACTTCTTAAATCTAGCGACATGCATTAGATCTCCAAGGTAATTAGCCGTGAAAATTTAAGAGTCGCGAAAGTCCTCCGGAAGGCGATTCCAATTGGATCCGCCTTAGGGGCCACAACACTCGTCACGTTTACTCCCCTTTTTTGGGGCCTTTGTTGGCACTTCTGGTGCTCCGCTGCTCTGTTGCTGATAAGTGGCCTGGTCAGCGAGTCAACTTAATTAATCAGTGCCCCGACTCCGGGGCAAGTCAATTGGGTGTTTTGACGTCGTTTGTGAATCAGCTGGGCGCCAGAAAAGCTCTGCCTCCGTTTTGGATTGAGGTTCCCACACTTTCTTTTTCTCCTGGCCTTTTAGGTGGAAATTAATTGGATTTGAGGATAGAAACAATGCTGCCGCCGAAGGAAAATGTTGATCTGGAGTGCTTTATGGTCACAAAGCACTCGTGGAAGGGGAAGTACAAGCGGATCCTGTCGATCGGAACAGCCGGCATTTCCACCTACAACCCGGACAAGTTTGACCTGACGAATCGGTGGACCTACTCGGATATTGTTGCAGCAGCACCATCAAAAACCTCAAATGTAAGTAAGGAAGCTCCTTGATTGCCAAATATCATAAAAAAGTCCTTTATTTCAGATTCCAAATGAGTTTGTGCTAACCATAAAGAAGGATAAGAAGCTGGACACCATTAAGTTATCCTCGGAGTACCGCAACGACATACTCACTTCGATATTAAAATACTACAAAGAGTTTGCCGACAAACCCAAACATGCTCAAGTAAAACCCATAACTAGTGAATAATACTTGTACTTCATTCTTAATACTTATCTTTACAGCGTTTCAGTGCGTACAAGTACCACTGGTCGGGTATCAGCCTCCCCACAGTACTGGAGGTTACGCCGTGCTCCCTGGACCAGCTCGACCCCACCACGAACGACGTGCTGGCCAGCTATATGTACAAGGACATCGAGGGAATAATAGGTAGCTATATAGACTCGACTCGCCAACATTCCCATTCATGTGTACCGTTCTATTGCTATGTGCCACCATTTTAATTCAATGTGTACGCTTTGTCTTTTTCGTTGCTTTCCGCACTCATCTTTCTGGTCTTTGTTTACGTTTGCGCACGTTTTAAGCAGGCATATCGGATTATGAGGGCGGCATCGTAATGGCCTATGGCGGATTCAGTCGCTTGCATCTGTTCAAAGCCCTAAACCACCATGAGATCGTCCAGAATATAGCCCAGAAATCGTCCCAGTTTTTGGGCATCGAGACGAAGATACTCAAAAGCCAGATAACCCTGGAGCAGTTCGAAAGGCAGAGGTTTGGCAAGTTCAGGTGGGTCTTTAGGTGGGAGATTACAAATAATAATAGAAAGTAATGTACCTTTTTTCGTCCCAGTGGCGATCAATTCCAGACTTCCATGACCGAGTTTACGGTCCAGAAGCTAACGCCCCGCCATCCAGACCCTGTGAAACGCACCCTTTGCCTTACGGAGGCGACTCTTCTTGAACGAGATCCGCAAACGTACAGCATCTGCACCCTGCGCCCACTTGCTGATGTTTTTGCCTTGGTCCGCGACAAAGACAACCTGCAGCGCTTCAGCATCGAGTACAAGAACGGCATTGTGCGCAGCTACAGCACAAATGACCGTGACTCGCTGCTAGCAACTGTGCTCGATGCAGTGCGTTCTAGCGGCAATCAGGACGTACATATCCGCATTGGAAACACGCCAAGAGGCAAGCGATATGTCCCGCTTAGTAGTTCCGTGGACGAGGAGACAGAAGCGACTCTATTGCGCCTGGTAATCAATAACTTCCAGAATCCCTCCAAGCGCTACGAGATTCTGGAGCGCTTTAACGCCAATGTGCCGCACAGTGGCCTTAACTACAGTGTTACTCAAGATGTGAGTGAAATCCACAAATTTTGTAAACAAATCTTATTAAAAAATGTTTATTTTCAGAGTTTATTTGCGGAAAACAAAGAGAAACTTATTCTGAGCGCTCTTCAGGCTTTGGCTCAAAAAGAGCTGGACAGTCCCACAGCGCAGCTGACCAACATGGAATTGGAGGCCATATTCCATGCTCTTACCCGCCTACTGGCCAGCAAGGTGGGCTACGCAGCCTTTACCAATCTCCCGGGGTAAGCGGAACTACTGAAACAATTATTAAAAGCAATTAATTGACAAATCTTTTTAGTTTTCGAGAGATCATCGGTACCAAGGTTGTGGCTGCTCTCCGGCGCAAAGATCTGGCTGTAACTTACTCTGCCATCGACATGATCAATTCCCTGATGCATTCAGTGAACTCAGATCATGACCTGAAGCAAGAGCAGTTGAACAAGTCATCCATTTTGTCGTCTAAATCGTTTCTGGAAACTTTGCTGAATATGTGGACAGCCCATGTGGTATATTTGATTGAAAACTATATGCACCAGGCCGTGCTTCATCACTTTATTCTTTCAGAGTCACGGTAGTGGTGCCCTTGTGCTGTCGGCTATGCTGGACTTCATGACCTTTGCGTTGTGTGTGCCTTACAGCGAGACCACCGACGGCAAGCAGTTCGACATTTTGCTGGAGCTGGTCGCCGATCGGGGTCGATATCTGTACAAACTATTCCAACACCCCTCTCTGGCTATTGTCAAGGGAGCTGGCCTCGTTTTGAGAGCCATCATTGAGGAGGGGGAGTTGCATGTGGCCCAGCAGATGCAAGCTTTGGCTCTGGACGAGGCGGCTCTTTGTCGGCACTTGCTAGTAGCTTTGTATACACCGTCAAATGATCCCACCCTGACCACACATCGACAGCTGTCTCGTCATCTGATCGGATTGTGGTTAACGGACAGCGAGGAGGCCATGGAGCTGTTCAAGCGCATTTTTGTAAGTTTTTCCCACTCCCTGTCAGTATTATTAAATTTTTAATATTACGATTTATTTTTACAGCCCGCTGGTCTTTTAACCTTCCTGGAATCGGAGGAATCCGTTCCCGAATCGGATGTGGAAGAAGACAAGCTAAACTTTCGTGACAATCTCAAGTTTGCAATTCAACATTCCAATAGAACGCGCAAAAATGTGATAGAGAAGCATTTGGCAGGCATCAAGCATTGGGGCATGAGCCTGATCGAGCAGCAGGACGAAGCGGCACAGGCTCTGAAAAACCGTCCAGTGGTTCTCCGCAACCGCCGCCAGAAGAAAAAGACATCCGATGTGATTGTGAATCTGCCTTACTTCTTCTACAGCTTTGCCAAAGACCACAGCCTGCCTAACCTAATCTGGAATCATAAGGTAGGGAGAGATTTTTCAAACGAACTATACCTTGTACTAATTTAATCTTCTTTTATCCAGACTCGGGAGGAGCTGCGTATGTGTTTGGAGAACGAGTTACGACAGTTCCTCAATGACCGCGACCTGGCCGGTCAGATGATTGTGGCCTGGAACTATCAAGAGTTTGAAGTAGCCTACCAATGCCTCGCGGATGAAATAAAAATTGGAGACTACTATATCCGCCTGATTTTGGAGAAGGATGACTGGCCCCAGAACTTGGTGAAGGATCCGTAAGTGATCTTTTCTTTAAATCTAAAACAAGGTGAAGCTAAAATCCAAATTCTTACAGGGTTGAGCTATTTAATGCCTTGTACCGAAGAGTCTTGTGCCGGCAACGTGTGAACGATGACCAAATGACCGTGTTCTCGCTTCAAGCCTTGGCCAAAGTGTACAAGCGCTACCACAAGGAGATTGGCAAGTTTAGCGACATGTCCTACATACTCCAGCTCAGCGATAGGGTTGGTTTTTCAATGTCCTTTTCCAAGAATGTTATTCCATCTATTAATTCTTCTCTTTTTTAGTGCCTCTCGCCTTCCATGCGCGACGCCCTAATCAACCTGATATCGTGCCTGGTTCTGGAGAAATCCAACTGTCGAGCCCTTATCGATCATGTCCAGTGCCTGGTGGATCTAATAACATTAGCACACTTGCATAAAGGGCGCGCCCAGTTGAATACCAAAACCAATGTCATCGAAGCCGGCCCGAACATGGCTGCCTACGAGGAGAAGGACTGGTACTACAACATCGAAAAGGATGGGCAGAAGCCGGAGCGGCAGGGACCCATAACCTATTCCGAGCTGAAGGAGCTCTGGCAAAAGGGACTGATCACGCCGAAGACTCGATGCTGGGCTATCGGCATGGATGGCTGGCGGTCGCTGCAGCAAATCCCTCAGCTAAAATGGTGCCTTATTGCCAAGGGGACCCCTCTCTACGACGAGACGGAGCTCTCCTCCAAAATTCTGGATATTTTGATCAAGTGCACGAGCTTCTTCCCAAGCCGCACGCAGAACGGAGTGGCGGTACTGATACCCGGACCAAAGTTGTCGCGAAAACTATCGGAGTTCATCTGCCTGCCGCATGTGGTGCAAGTGTGTCTCACCCACGATCCAGGCTTGCTGGAACGCGTAGCTACATTGCTCTGCCAAATCATGGAGGACAATCCTGAGATGCCCAAGGTCTATCTGACGGGCGTCTTCTACTTTATGCTTATGTACACGGGCAGTAACATCCTGCCCATTACCCGCTTCTTGAAGATGACGCACATGAAGCAGGGCTTCCGCAGTGAAGAGGTAAGTCAACAATGACTCATAACTGGATAGGCTTCTAATAATTTTGCATTCCATAGACGTCCCAATCCGGCATTATGCACAGAAGTATTCTGGGTCAACTCCTGCCCGAGGCCATGGTTTGTTTCCTGGAGAACTACAGCGCCGAAAAGTTTGCGGAAATCTTCTTGGGCGAATTCGACACGCCCGAGGTGATCTGGAGTTCAGAGATGCGTCGCCTGCTCATCGAAAAGATCGCAGCCCATATAGCTGATTTCACGCCGCGACTCCGGGGGCATACAATGGCCAGATACCCATACCTGGCCATCCCAGTGATCAGCTATCCACAGCTGGAAAACGAGCTCTTCTGCCACATCTACTATCTACGCCACCTGTGTGACACACAGAAGTTTCCCAACTGGCCAATTTCGGATCCCGTTCAGCTGCTGAAGCACACATTAGACGCATGGCGGAAGGAAGTTGAGAAGAAGCCACCGCAGATGACCATCCAGCAGGCTTACCAGGACCTCGGCATCGACCTGACAAAGACGCCCAAGCCAGACGAGTCCATGATCCGAAAGAGCTACTACAAGCTGGCGCAGATGTATCATCCAGACAAAAATCCCAACGGCCGCGAAATATTCGAAAAGGTCAATCAGGCCTACGAGTTTCTGTGCTCAAGAAATGTGTGGAGCTCGGGTGGACCAGATCCCAATAACATTGTGCTCATACTTCGCACCCAGAGCATTCTCTTTGAGCGATATCCCGATGGTGAGTTTTTATTACACTTCCCCTTTCGATCGTTGATGACCTCTTGTTTAAATCTTCAGTTTTGCGGCCTTACAAGTACGCGGGATATCCGCAGCTCATCAAAACCATCCGCCTGGAGACGCGCGACGACGAGCTTTTCTCCAAGGAGGCCCAGCTCCTGACCGCTGCTTCAGAGCTGTGTTACCACACGGTTCATTGCTCTGCCCTCAACGCCGAAGAGCTGCGCCGCGAGGAAGGCATTGAGGCGCTCCTGGAGGCCTACACTCGGTGTGTTTCCATTTTGGGAGTGGACTCTAAGCCAGACTCACTGCACTACCAGGTCATTTCGAATGTGACGCGGTGCTTTGAGGTGGCCTGCAACTTCGAGAAGTGCAAGCAGAAAATCATTACGTTGCCGCAGCTTTTGTCCGACGTGTGCCGAGTGGTCTACTTTAAGCACACCCTGTCGGTGAGTCTGGTGACCAGTCTGGCGGCCAACAATTATGATCTGCAGTGCGATCTCTCGCGCAATGGAGTGCTCTGGTCGCTGCTGCTATTCATTTTCGAGTACGACTACACCTTGGACGAAAGCGGAGTGGAGGTCAGCGACAAGTCCAACCAGCAGCAATTGGCCAACAACCTGGCCAAGATGGCTGTTCTCGGGTGCATAGCTTTGGCGGGCTACAACATGGAGCTGCGCCAGAAACCAGTCACGGGCAGTGAGGCTAATTCCCCGGTGGCTAAGCCGCTACCGGCCATCAAACCCAAGCCAGTCCAGACAAACACGGCCTACACCCAGAACGCCCATAATCCGCTGCAAAGCAAGCAGTTGGCCATCACCAGTGGCAAGGAGAAGGAGCCGGAAAGTTCGTCTGGAAGCAGTGATACCTCGAGCTCCACTCCCACGGAAAGTGAGCAGCAGCAGCAGCCCAGTGCCATCCAGCAGAAGTACATTGTGACGGGTGAGGCGAAGAATACGCTGATAAAGCAGGTCCTGGACCGGCTGCTCACCCGCCACATTGCCAACCAGCTGGCCACGGCGCGGGACAGCGACGTACTGAAGTTGCTTACGGCAAACACACGAAATCCCTACCTCATTTGGGACAATGGAACCCGGGCCCAGCTCAAGGACTTCCTCGAGCAGCAACGCACGGTCTCGGCGAAGGAGACGCACGAGGACATTGCCCAAGTCGCGGAGCTGGTCTCTACATTTGAGTTCGATGCTCACAAGTAAGTTAAGCAAATAATCAGGAAAGAATAATTCTAGACATTATACTCTCCCAGGGATGAACTTCAAATAGGAGGCATCTTCATACGCATCTACAACGACATGCCAACGCATCCGATTGCCCAGCCCAAGCTCTTTATCATGGATCTGCTGGAGTACTTAAAGCACGCCTATCAGTTTCTGAATTTTAAGAAAAACCCTGCACCACCTGTTGCACCCAAAATGGGCACCGATGGCATATTAACCCCCACACTGGCACCCAATCATCCCCAGCTACAGCAGGCGACGGCGGGCGGCAAACCTGGCAGCACTTTTGACGAAGTACTAAGCGCGTACAACCGCTCCAAGAGCCGGAAGAAGATGGAGACGGATGCCCTGGCGGAGCAGCAACAGGCCCTGCAACAAAGCAAGTACGACTTTGCCAGCGATGGAAAGCTGGAACTGCATATCACAATGGTGCTCAGGGCGCTGATCGCGGTGATCAAGTCCAACGCAGAGGTGGAGATCCAGTGCATCGGGAACTTTGACATGATCTTTGGTTTTCTGGCCAACAACATATTTCCAGACGTAAGACCTTCCTAATCCTACTAGGGAATTCCAGTCCTAACTATCTCTTTCTTGTTTCAGAGCTCCACGGTCAAGGCTGTTGCCTTGGAAGTCGTTGCTCTTGTCTCTCGCAACAAAGAATGCGTCTCTGAGGTGGCTGCCTGCGAAATTTTGGGCAACTATCTGGTGGCTCTTAAAGACCCAGAGCTCCGTGCCAGCCAGGTAAAGGTCCTGGAGACGCTGTCAGGACTCATGAATGTTCAGGAGATGATCAAGGAAGCCCAGACCAAGGGCGCGGTTATCTATCTGCTTGACATGTTCTGCAATTCGAGAAACCCGCAGATTCGAGAAATGTGTGCCGAAATCCTGGCCAAGATGACGGCAGATCGTCTGAGCGGTCCCAAGGTTCGCATTACCATATCAAAGTTCCTGCCAACGCTGTTCATCGACGCCATGGTGGAGTCCCCAGCCACGTCCATACAGCTTTTTGAGTCCATCCATGAGCACCCGGAGCTGATATGGAACGATTCTACTCGATCCACTGTTTGCGATGCCGTGGCTGAAGCTTGCGAGAGGTAAATGCTGCAAAATGCAACTTTTATAGCTTATATCCTTATTCTTATACCCTTCCCCATATTGCAGATTCTATCAACACCAGAAGTCCAACTCCCGGCATGTCTGGAAGGATCCCGAAATACTTAAAGACATTGTGGCCAACGAAATCGTCGTGGCCGGTGTATACCTCCGCTTGTTTGTCAGCAATCCCGCCTGGACCTTGCGCAAGCCCAAGCAGTTCCTCTCCGACCTCCTGGACTTTGTCGTCGAACAGATCGGCAAAAGCTCTTCCGACCAGGACGTTTTGGATCTCTCAACCACAGCCCTGGTAGAGTTGCTTCGCTCACAGCCCAACCTGGCGGACGATATCCCAGTCCTGGGCCACATACCGAAGTTGTTCAACCTGCTTTCGGTGCAGCCAAAGAACACGCTATCAGTATTACACCAGCTCTCGATTTCTGAGGTGGGTCTGGCATAAACTTTTCGTTGAACAGTAATTCGAGTTCCCTTTTCTTTTAGTTTTGTGTGAGTGCCATTTCGCAGACGGAGTGCGTCGCTCCGCTCAAGAAATGCATGGAGCACAACAGAGACTGCATTGAAAAAGCCTGCGAAACGCTGAGTCGCCTCTTCAAGCATCAGCACGTAAGTGGATTTAGAAAAGGAACGCTCAATGGTTGCTAATAAACAATCCTTCCTAGGACTCGTTAATCAGTCAATCTCTGGAGATGGGTCTAATACCGTTTCTGCTTGGTCTCTTGGACAGTCGCCTCGAGTTCGTGGATAATGCATCGGCGGTTAAGGCACAAATAGTGGCCGCGCTCAAGGGCATGACGCACAATCTCAACTACGGCGACCGGGTCACGCAAATCCTGCTGAAGCATCCAGTGTGGGCCGAGTTCAAGGATCAGCGCCACGATCTGTTCATTACTGATACAAATATACGTGGCTATCTAACCGGTAAGGAATATCTTACTCAAATTCCTTTTATAGATTTGTAATATTTTTGAAATTTTCTTCAAAAGGAGTTAATCCCACGGCTGGGTATCTGACGGCGGGACCCGCACAAAGTGTGGAAGTGCTCACCTCGCCACCGCCCATCGATCGTGACGATCCTTCGGCCCGTTCACCCATCGACTAGCGAATTATCCCCTGCCAGACCAAAGCCAAGGCTAAGGTTGGCCTTTGAGTTGAAGCCTTCGATTGCCACGGAATCTGAAATCTGAACCATTCACGGGTTTCCCCAATTACTGTATTAAACTTTTGCAAATTTCTTACACACGTAGCGTGAAAGTGGGCGGCGATCATATTATTAAACTGTAACAAAGTTTCATTTTTTATATTTATAAAGAGAATTTTGTAAAAATAATTAGTTAATAGCTTATACACAGAACATAAACCAACCTAACTAGAGCATGCATAAAGTGATTATACATATTATGGAATAAAGCCGATTCATTACAAATGAAATGACTGCGTTTTAATGGGAATTTTTCAAAATAAGCTTAATTTTTAAATTTAAACTAATTTAAAAAGTTATTCTTCCTTATTTTCCAAATACTATTAGAAAAATACCGACCGAAAACGCGTTAGGACATTTTTGTTATCATCCGCCAAACAGCTGTTAGCACAAAATAAACAAAAAATATCAATGTCGTTAGTAGCAGATTATAGCGATTCGTCCGAATCTGATGAGGATAATACCAGCCAATCCTCCGACAGCGACGATGTCAAATCGTAAGCTCTATGAGTAAATTACTGGAATACTTTCTAAATATCCATTTAGCATTTGTAGACCTCCCATGCCCGACGAAAAGCCGACCTCCAAGTTGCCCAGTGCCAGCCAGGTCCTAGCCCAGAAAACTGGCAAGGGTGATGTGTTCAGCAATCCATTTCTAGAGGCGGAGCTTCACAAGACCGCCTCATTGGAGCGGCATGTAAAAATGGTTACCAACGATGAGCATCTCAAGCAGAAGAATGGACGCAAAATCTGCTGGAACTTTCGCAGAGGACGCTGCCGTTTTGGAACTAGCTGCCAGTATGCTCACGATTCGGACTTGAGTGTTGAAGGACCGGGAACTACATCTAAAACGGTGGATCCATCGGCTGCCTTAGCTGGTGTGTCCAGAGAAGCCACCAACAGCAAAAAACGAAAACACCCCGGACTGGGTGACTCCCTGGAGCCGGGAAAGCGGGTTATAAAGAACTATAAACAGAACCAGCCGCATCGTAACTAGACTACGCCCGCTTCTGTGATCTGCAGCAGGCAGGTCTCACCTACTGGGCCATAGGTGTTTGTGATTACATTTACCAACCGAATGCCATCATCTTGACTGGTTGTACGGTTGGTACGGTCAGAGCCTTCCTCATCATTCGACTCCATTGGCATTTCCAGGGAAAGCCTCAACGTGCACACAGAACTCCAGTAGTCGCCAAGCATGGGTTCCAACTGCCTCTTCGATGGCGCCTCTTGGCTTCGGCCGTCGTCATCTTCGCCGTCATCATTAACAGTTTCTGATAGGAATTTAAAATTATAATAGACGTAGCGCATATTAAAGTCTTAAATATAAAGTAGAAATAATACCTTCTTCTTTTTGAAAAAAGGACACATTGCCTACGACAAAGGCTATACCGTGAACCGATAGCTTCCTGATGCTGCAGGCCAGCTCTGTGAGCAAAGATTTCCGTAGCATAGTCATCTTCTTTCCCCGAAATGCATAGAAACATGCTGGCAGCGAGTCAATTACAACTAGTTTTGTTCGCTGGGCATCCCCATTCTCAGCAGCCAGTTGCTGGTAAAAATTTTTCAGCAAATCAATTAGTTCTCTGCTGGTCGATGCCTCCGCCACTCGGATTGCCTTCAGTACTCTCTCACAGGTGTCACTGTCCGTTTTGCGTGCAGCTAGCATATCCGTAATCCTTTTGCTAGAGAAATCCCTCTTGAGATCGATGAACAGAGCTTGAAGATCGTGTTTCCACGCAAAGTTCAGGATCAGAGTGTACATCAGTTGAGTTTTACCAACTCCCGTTTGGCCGCATATTTCCCATACTCTTCCCGGCTTGAACTGCTGTTCCACGGAAACCAGAAGTTTGTCTAATCTGAAGGAAACCAATAGTCGATGCCAATATCTATATAGTATCCATATAACTCACTCTTCCAGTCCCGTTCCATAGTTGATATCAGGGATAGGTTCCTCATTAAATGGGTTTGTCAGCAGCGCCATTTCGCTCTTTAGCTGCCTCAATGTTTCTATCTTTATGGCCAGTAATTCTTTAAGTTTGTCCTCATCCTCTTCATAAAACTCGCAAAAGGTTTCAATACCATGTTTACTAAGCAAGTTCAGCTGATATTCGGAAAGTTGTTTGCCAGTTTCAGTTCGTAAAATTTCATTTTTTAAGTCCATTCCGGCGATGAGTGACTGAAAGATTAAGTAATTATAAAGAGTACAGGGATAATATGGTCCCCTAGAACAAATTAGTTTATAATTCAACTTTTATTCAATTTAGAACAAAAAATGTTAATAAACAAAAAAATCGCGGTTTATCGATAATAATCATTTTTTCTTCTTCTTGAAACTTCTTTAAAGTTTAAATATGGTCATACTTAAGAATTATTCTTTAAAATTACCGCCCCATCAAACAAAATGGAGGATTTATTTGTAAAATTTAAAAAAATTTATTTCCAAAATGTAATTTAAATGCCTAAATAATAAAATACATAAGCTACTTGTTAAACTTGACCTCAAACTTCCTTAGTAACTCCAATAGGAATTACAATTTTGAAGCCATTATCCCCCTTGAACTCCTATAGGTTTAAAAAAGCATTTCCGGTTTGGAACTCCTACTTCCGGGTTTTTTTAAAAACAACTTTTAAATTTTAGTTGTATCCTGCCCAAAGCTACACATTTAGAATTCCCCCACGGAAATTATAGCCCAAATAGGTCACGTTACTGTAATTTCAAGACAGCAGTTACATTACAAGATCAATGATATGAGATCTGCTTTATTATTGAAGCTGAACCTGAAATTAGGGCGCTCCTTGACTTTCCCATAATCAGTGGCCCGCCCCCTCATCATCACGACAGAGTCAATGATCGCGCCAACGCGACCCGGAGAAAAAATACAAAAAAAAATGTAAAGAAAAACAAGAACTGCAAGACCGACAATTACAAGCCCAGCTTTGTGACGTATTATAAGAGCGGCTCCGAAATGCGGGCCGCTCGCCAGCTTCCCCAAAAATAAACAGCGCTTGTAACAGCGCACGAGCAACGAAGAGCAGTTTCGCTTTCATCGCTCAGTTTGTTTTTGTTGACGCCGGACTTGCTTTTTTTTTAGCTTTTGGTTTTTTTAATCGACTGCTTGATACCTGTTCACGTGCGACAGCGCTGGCGGAGTTTATAAAGGTTTCAATCGCCACGAAGGGCGGCACAGTTTCTCGGAAAGACGCAAAGCTGCGTGAGCCGCGCTTGAAAATCAAACAACGTTTTCAAATTTGAATCAAATTTTGATTAAAAATATTACCAAAAATAAACAAATCGCCGAAACTATAACAAACAAAAGTGGATAAAAATAAAAGTGGCTTTCAAGGACAGTTCTATATTGATTGGATATTTGTTTGATTCGCCTCTGAAAGTAGGTTTATTCGCCAATTTTTATATTTTTGCAACCGGGATTTACCCTGAAAAATCGAAGCTTTGTTATTTATAAGGTTTTAAATTATGAAAAAATACTTCAAACAAATTTTAGTTTAAAGAAGATAAGTGTGTCCCGAAAGTTAGTTTTTAAAGAGTTTGATAACGTGACTTTAATTATAAAGTTTTTCAAATACTAATATAGGCTTAAACTCTAAAGAAACCAAGAGCTATGCCCAGAAAAGTTTCATAATATTTAAACTAAGCAATAACCATTAACTTCACAGTTGCATTTAATTGAAACTTTCGTTTAATTGAAACTTTTAAAATACAATAAAATGGTGTCGCAAAGGAAAATTAAACCTGGTTTAGTTTCGATTTCAAACACAGTTCTTTCCAAGCCGTGAAAGTAGGTCAAGCTGAAAAGTTAATTAGCTTGTGTTTGATCAAATCCGGGATTAAAACTGATCTCGAATCTAGTCCACGCCTTGACCCCTAATCATGATTGAAAAAGCTCATTTCAGCGAAGTGACACCCGAAAAAATGGAGTGAAAAATAAATCTCCAGCTAGCTTATGCCATTTCCATTAATAATTTAAGAAACAAAAAATTGGAAACTATTTGAACACACACGCAAAATCAACAGCAAACATGGCAAAACCTAAGCCAGTTTGCGAATATTTGTTACAAAACCATCGTGTGTCCGCAAACTGGGCGACCGGGATCCGATTCGCTGGCAAAGTTAAGGTGAAGGTTCATTTGCATAGCCAAAGAAATAAAAACAGAAGAAAAATAAAAACAAATATATAGAGATGCGGTGGCCGATGCGAAACCAAGCGCAGATTTACGATTTACCCTTGAAATCATTTCATCGAAGAGCCATTAGCTGCCAAATATCGCCAACTGCCCGATCGCAGTTTACAACTCGCAGTTTTCGAGTCTCGGAGACATCTTCGAGTGCAAAGAAAACATTATGATTAAAACTAGGGACTTTTTTTGCGCCAAAATTAGGCATCTGCCCGGGGCCTCGCCAATATTCTCGATATTTCTACCTAAAACGTCGGTCGATCAGCCCGAAAGACCTAAATAAATATTAATTGCCGAAATGGGATAAGTATTTAAGAGTTTCGCGTGGCCAACATTTGCAAATTCCAAAGACACGTGCCCAGAATATAAAAAATGATCCCTGAACTTGAAAAAGACAACCATTTTCCAGACACTCTAGTCGTTGACCTCTGTCAATTAAATTATAATACCACAAAGTGGTAGTAACAAATCTGAACAATACCTACATAGTACTTGAAACTTCATGAGTCAAAGCAAGTGACAAGTTCGAATTAGGTTTTTATATTTCGCCTTTGGGCAGCAGCCCATAAACCTTCAGGTGCGATAGACACCTTTATTTTTGCGAGTGATTTTCGCTTGAATTCGAACATCGAACTAATCCGCTGCAATGAACCTGACATTGAAAAACACTCAGGCCGCGGATGCGGCTAATTGTTATTTGAATGGAACTCCACCTACCACTTAGGTTACGTTAATACGAGTACTGCCATGTTCTGTGATCGGTTGAGTGACATGCGGAGTACTTTTTTGGAGGCTTTCTACTTTGAAAAAGTTGAAATGTCCTTATCAGCCTTTAAAATATTTCCTAAAATAAGTTTCGACGCTTCTGAATATTAATTTATTTTAAATACAGATAACTTTACAAATAATTGGCTAGTTAAAGGTGTCATAATAAATTGTTTAGGCAACTAAGTATGAGGGTGTGAGTCACAGAGCACTTAGAATTACCGAATTGTTCCGGTAGGAAGTTTACCAACTTATTTGTGTTTGCTTTCTACTGACGGAGTTTCGACAAAAAAGCCCCCTCCAGTCCTAAGTGGTTATTTAGCCAAAGGGCCTAGTTTTGTTGTTAATATTAATTGGTAAACAATCTTACCTTCTCCAGCTGCCGATAAAGTTAGCGGTCTACGTGTTTCCCAGACATGGAAGCCAATTGGCGAGGGATTCTCGCACTGTGCCTCTTGATCCCAGTGGCTCATGGGGCTGTCAATGAGTCAACGCTGCGGCATCACCACTTTAGCTACGGACCTTTAAACGCCAGTCTGGATTACACGCCGGAATTCAGTAGAGGATCAGAGGAAACGCGGGGCATAATCCCTTCTCATCATGAGCCGCACCTGATTCGCAGCTCAGTAATATTTGGACTGACCAAAGTGGCCAACAGCAGCAACGTGAGTCCCAGTTGCTACAACCACCTGCAACAGGTGCAAAGGGGCATTCTCAGCAAGCAGCCTTGGGCCATGAAAGGTGAGTAATCGAAGATATTTCAGAATATTTAGTGGGTACATGCGAAATCTACAGCCCTTTAAATGAAAGTTCATCGGTCTTTAGTTAAGTCACAGTTGTGACTGGAGAAACCATATAGCCCAGAACCCTTTAATATATACAAATAATAGTGTAGTTTTTATAGAGAAAAGGTTGTATTTGTCAGCTTTAATTTATGACTTAACTTTATTACCAAAATTTTAACATTGTGGAGGGTTCTCCAATTAACGCAAAACGCTTACACTTTCCAGTACTCGATGCTTCTGGAACAAAGCCATCTGGATTCGTTTTTGGCCAAAACTACTGGCTGGGTAGTCGGGAGGCCTGTCGTGGAGTCCAGCGACCCGTGGGAATTACACTTTCCCGGAATTATGAACGCAAGATGCACTACAGCATCCTGACCCAAAGCGCTCCCTTTTCAATGGACTACCGTGTGATCTACTTGCGACACCGATCTCCGTGGCAAGTGGAGATCAAGGTGATGTCCGAGCAAGTGTTGCACATAGGTCTGTGCCTGCCCAGCGCCTGCGATTCGGAGGAAGTGAAGCAAATAGCCAGGGACTATGTGTCTGGTGGAACCTTTGCCGAAGATGATATCTTTGACATGCGACCGGAAGTGCTATACATGAAGGATCTGAAACTGAGCAATCGTTTCTACCAGCGACTGACATTCAAGCTAGTGGTGGGCTCGGTCCTGGCCACTGGAGCTCTAATGGTCTGTGCCCAGCAGCTACGAGTGGCCAAGCGAGGCAATGAACCGGATCTTGGCTTGGCTCCCGTTGAATCAGAAATCTGGCAGATTCTGGACACGCTTCTCCAGTGGCAGCCCCTGCAGAGCTTTGTCTCCTGCTTCGATGTGGTGAACAATTGGAATAAGATTTCCGCCACGAGACAGAACCAGCCCGGAGAGATTCCCATCATGAATGGCCTGAGATCTATCTGCGCCTTTTGGATTCTAATATTCCATGTGGTGTGGTACATGTACTTTACAGTCCATAACAAAACAGTGCTTATATCATATGCGGAAAAGGCTTTGTTTCAATACGTGTCCACAGCTCCCCTCTTGGTGGATGTATTCTTTACCATCAGGTGAGTTTTGAGGGCTTTCCAAGTAGACTCTTTTGTGTTAACAATAATGTTATATTTCAGTGGCTTTTTGCAAACTTACAACTTCTTGAGAAACGCCAAGCAACTGGAGGCGGTCCGTGGTAATGGGCTTTGGGGAAACATGAAACTTTACGGAAAACTCTTGTTCCACCGATATCTGAGGTTGGGACCACTCTATCTGGTGGTTGTGGGCAGTGTGGATCTGGCCTTCTCGTACATTGGAGATGTCTCCGTTTATCACATTAATGAACGATTCGACGAACTGTGCACCCAGCACTGGTGGAGGAACCTGCTCTTCATCCAGAACCTTTTCGATCACCGGGAACTTTGTGCGAATTGGAGCTGGAGTCTAGCCTGCGATATGCAGTTTTTCCTCCTGGCTAATCTAATGCTCTTTGTTTACGCCAAGTAAGTAGGAAAGTGAAGATAGAAGGAAAGTCACTTCCCTCTCTTTCTTTCAAGCGAACGGTCGTGTTTTTTTGTGCGCACTGCGTTTTTGATAAATATTGGTAAACCGGTGTTTACATACTTTGTGAATTAAATCTTGTGAATCATAACAATCTTAAAGCCTAAACCGTATCGCTTCGCGAGTGCTTTGGTATATTTGGAATCGAATTAATAATTTGTCTAAATTCTATTCCAAGCATAGCTCAGCTCTGCTTCTTCCCCGGCTTATCTATATTTTCTGCATTTCTCTTGTGCACTCTTTCAAAGCTCCCGCTTCGGCTTCTTGTTTGGCACAGTGGTTCAAGGTATTGTGTTTTTTAACTTTTTAAATATTAATTTTTGTCTTATTAAATTAGAAAAAAAAAAATAATAATAATAAACAAAATGGAATTTAAACTGGTCTGTGCCATTAAGTCTTGCAACAAGACGATTTCCACATCCCAGCCTAGTATCCATTGCTGGTTATGTGAAAACGTCGTGCACGCCAAGTGTGCCGGTTTCACTGCATCAGTTTCGGATGCCATTTCCCGTAGGTCTGGGATACACTATTGTTGCGAAAATTGTCGTGCTGTGCAAGGCGAAATGAGGTCGTTCATGAGACAGACCAAAAATGGATTTAAAGAGCTGATCACTGGTTTTCGTAAAATCAATGACCAGCTCTGTGCGCTGTTCAGCTTCTAAATGAGTCCCCTAAGCGTAACAAATCCTCTGTTTCTGATCCGCCTCAGCCTGCTCAGCCGACATTAATGCAGCCGCTTATATCTCTGGCCACCCCAAGGGCCTTAACTGAGAAAAATTCGTCAGAATTTCTCAGGGATAATGAGCAATTGTCCGATATGTCCGCCATGGCATCCCTTCAAGTGATGCCACAGGTCCTAGGGAACGAAACCCCCATTAGGGTCACCCAAAAGGGTATTCCACAGTCCGGACCACCGGCACCGACTGATGCTGCAGTTCTTGTACCTGCGACACCAAAACCCTTACAGGTGATTCCTCCATCGAAACATATATTTGTTTCTCGGCTTGCCCCTGATACTTCAGAGATTGATATCTCGGCTTATATCAAAGCCAAAACTAAAGCCGATATAAAGGTGGAGGACATACAAAAATTTAAATACAATTATACAAGGCGCACGTCTTCTTTCAAGATTCGTGTGCCCGCGCTGATGTTCAAGACGATTTGTTCTCCCAGTTTTTGGCCAGAGAATCTTTTCGTCCAAGAACATCAGCCTAGTTCCGTTAAAAAAAAAGTTAATAAACCAGTGGGAGTCAGACTTCCCAATATCGGAACCACTGACCAACCCTCCACCTCTTCTTTGGCCTCTAACCCAAAAAACTAATTTCCTCACTAAATCTTACCTATCAGAATACTAGGGGGCTACGTAGCAAACTCCCCAAGCTATATTCTGATAGTTCTTTCTTTGCATCCCATATAATAGCATTTACAGAAACTTGGTTAAATCCGGAGATCTTTAGCTCCGAAGTTTTTCCAAGTAAGTACACCACTTTTAGACGGGATCGATCTCAGCGAAGAGGAGGTGGAGTCCTCATTTCGGTAGACTCTACTTTTGCTTCTGAAGAGGTGAAATCCCAAGAGTTTGGTGACATAGAATTTATTTGCGTTAAAATCACTATGTCCGTGAAAGCTTTATACATTACATGTTCATATATACCTCCTAAAAATTTAAATACAATTATACAAGGCGCACGTCTTCTTTCAAGATTCGTGTGCCCGCGCTGATGTTCAAGACGATTTGTTCTCCCAGTTTTTGGCCAGAGAATCTTTTCGTCCAAGAACATCAGCCTAGTTCCGTTAAAAAAAAAGTTAATAAACCAGTGGGAGTCAGACTTCCCAATATCGGAACCACTGACCAACCCTCCACCTCTTCTTTGGCCTCTAACCCAAAAAACTAATTTCCTCACTAACTCTTACCTATCAGAATACTAGGGGGCTACGTAGCAAACTCCCCAAGCTATATTCTGATAGTTCTTTCTTTGCATCCCATATAATAGCATTTACAGAAACTTGGTTAAATCCGGAGATCTTTAGCTCCGAAGTTTTTCCAAGTAAGTACACCACTTTTAGACGGGATCGATCTCAGCGAAGAGGAGGTGGAGTCCTCATTTCGGTAGACTCTACTTTTGCTTCTGAAGAGGTGAAATCCCAAGAGTTTGGTGACATAGAATTTATTTGCGTTAAAATCACTATGTCCGTGAAAGCTTTATACATTACATGTTCATATATACCTCCTATGTCTGAACCGCCCACATATTGGCAGCATTTGTCCGCTATTCGATACGTCTCTAATCTTATGACGGATCGTGACCAACTCGTAGCGGTGGGCGACTTTAATATCCCAGAATTAAAGTGGTCCAACGTCGATAACTCACCATCTTTGTCACTTATAACTTACCATGACTTCACCGCGGGCATGTTTGACATGTCCCTAGGTCAGATTAATCATGTTAGAAATTCGCTAGGTCGGCTCTTAGACTTATGTTTTGTATCTGATCCGGATGGTACCGCTCTCTCCAGAGCTTTTCCCCTTTCAACCCCAGAGGATCCATATCACCCCACGCTGGAGGTCTCAATCGAAACCACTCCTGGTATCGATCAGATGTCTCCGAGCGTGGTAAATAAGATTCGCTGTTTCCGTAAAGCTGATTTTCAAAAACTTAATAGCCTTATCGATACATTTGACTGGTCTGATATTCTGGCGTGCACTGATCTTAATGTCACTTTAGAAAAATTTTATTTTACTTTAAATACATTTTTTGACTCATGTGTGCCTTGGAAACATCCGTCCGCTTCAACAAATCCTCCTTGGTATACAAGGTCCCTCACTAACCTAAAAAATAAAAAAAATAAGCTTTTACTTAAATATAAAAAAACCTGCAGTAGTGTTGATTTCTCAAGATACCTACTAGCTCGGTCGAATTTTACCGTGCATAACGCTGAATGTTATAGGAATTATATTGACCGCTGCCGGATTCAATTTACTCAGGATCCAAAGCAGTTTTATAATTTTGTAAACACTAAGCGTAAACACGTATCTTTTTCACCTCTGCTTATGTTTGAAAATTCCTCTGCGACTTCGGATCAGGCCATTGCCGATCTATTCGCAGAATTTTTTCAAACAACTTATTCTCCTCCTAAATTGACTGATCAGCCTTATGCATATAACATTCAAGCAGCAAATCTTATTTTCTGTCCGTCTTTTCTGAGAACAACTTATTATCTGGTCTTTTAAGGGTAAAACCCATTTATTCGCCAGGCCCCGACGGAGTACCAGGCTGTGTGCTAAAATACTGCGCCAGGGCTCTGTGCAAACCTCTTCTAAGACTTTTCAACTTATCTTTGGAAACCTCGATTTTTCCCCTTAAGTGGAAGGAATCATTTATAATTCCCCTACATAAAAAGGGGAAAAAGTCCGAGGCTGTCAACTACAGAGGCATCTCTAAGTTGTCGGCAATTCCAAAGTTATTTGAAAAATTAATTACCCCTCATTTGCAACACCTTTGCTCTTCGATCATCACTCCTTGTCAGCATGGCTTTATTAAGCGTCGCTCCACCACCACAAACTTATTGGAGTTGACATCCTTTGTCATAGACGGCTTTTGTAAGGGATATCAAACCGATGTAATTTACACAGACTTCAGCAAAGCATTTGATTCAGTTAATCACTCACTTTTGTTGAGTAAACTGAATATGCTGGGTTTTCCTAAAGACCTCTTAACGTGGATCTCCAGCTACCTAGATGGAAGGACACAAAGAGTCTTATTTAAAAACATACAGTCCCGTCTGGTCCGTGCTACATCCGGCGTCCCTCAAGGAAGTCATCTTGGCCCGTTATTATTTACGCTTTTTATAAACGACTTGCCCCCTGCTTTAACGAACTCTCTAGTTCTTATGTATGCAGATGATGTAAAGCTTTGTCTTCAGTATAAATCCATCTCTGCCCAATGCAGTCTTCAGTCTGACCTTGATAACTTTCAAAAATGGTGTTTGGCTAATGATCTAATACTTAATGGATCAAAATGCAAGCATATGTCTTTTTATCGTTCTTGCCCTCTGCAAGCTACGTATTCCATTAATGGGATTGCCTTAGAAAAATTAACCCAGGTTAATGATCTCGGCATCCTATTAGACATAAAACTTAAATTTGCCGACCATATTTCCTTAATGGTTAATAAGGCTAAAGGAGTCCTTGGTTTTATTAAAAGGTGGTCAAAAGAATTTAATGACCCCTATATAACCAAAACTTTATTCATTTCTTTGGTCCGTCCGATACTAGAGTACGGTTCATGTGTCTGGAGTCCCCAATATGGAGTACATAAGGACCGCATAGAATCCGTACAAAAGAACTTTTTAATATTTGCACTTAGAGGCCTATACTGGGATGCAAATCTTCAGCTTCCATCCTACAGTAGCAGACTTTTACTTATTAACTTACCTAGCTTAACAAATCGTAGGACAATGCTCGGTGTAGTTTTTCTGCATAACCTTATCAACGGGGATGTAGATAGCCAGCATTTACTAACACGCTTAAATTTCAACATTCCTAATAGAAGGACTCGAAACTTTAGTCCTCTGTTCCTTAGCCGTTGTAGTTCGACATATGCACTGCATGACCCTTTTAGGGTATTATGTTCGAACTACAATGGTCTCTACTCTATTACATCTCTTTCCTGTCCCTCTAATTTAAAATATAGAATTTTAAATTTCCTTACTAACTCCTCTTAGCTTAATAATTAACAAATAACTTAATATACTCTAACAAATCGTTTCTTGAGCGCCCCTCGGTCGTCTGGGCCTCTAAGCTTTATGATGAATACAGGAATGCTAGCTGATGCTCTTATTGATGCACAAGCCATTTCCAAATTCTGAAAGACCGCGAAAAAAAAAAAAAAAAAAAAAAGATAACCAGGAACTTCTTTAAAATTTTTACTTCACCTTAGACATCCCAAAACCGCAAAAGTATTGACTTTGACCGGACTCCTGGCCACCATTACTTGGTCCTATGGGATTGGCATCAACTATAAGTTTGAGTTCTCCTTCGACTCCACCTACGCCACTGGAACCCAAATCTACACCAGTCCTTTTGTCAGGATTTTGCCCTATATTGTGGGCGCCATTGCTGCCTGGTGTCTTCAGGAGCAACGCTTCCTGTTCGAGATGACAGAAAGGCAGAACCGGCGGCTCTGGCACTATAGTATTTGGGTGTTTCTGGGATGCATATACTCCACGGTGAAACGGGATCTGGGTCACCTGATAACAATATCCCTATTTGTTTTGGGACGTGCTCTATTCTCGCTTACCGTTTGCTGGATGGTCGTGGGCAGTGCCAAGGGAAGCGGAGTCTGGTGGTCACGCCTGCTGGAGGCCAAGTGCTTCCAGCATTTAAATCGACTGTCCTACGCCATTTATCTGTTGAATCCCTTGGTGATTGCTCTCGTCTACAGTCTCACCAGTGCTAGTACACACGCCGATCCGTTTATGCTGGTAGGTCTTTTTTCTTCAAGTACAAGATTACTAGTGTAGTAATAAGTACAATCGGATTAATATAAACAATATTTTCTTATTTCTTATAGAGCGTGGTCTGCTGTGGTTTCGCCTTGATCGTGTACCTCGTATCCATAGTTTTTTCTCTGGCTTTTGAGCTGCCCTACAGCAATCTTTCTAGTTTACTGCTACGACGGCAGGGAAAGTCCAAAGCTTCATAAACTGTGATTACCTCTCGTTTATTATATTGAAACTAAGTCAGTTAATAATAAGAAATTTAAGATTAAAAACATTTTAAATCATGCCTTTTCCTTCATGGGTAAATTTCGAATTCAATTTCACAGTTGATTAGTGTGACCAGCGAGTCTTTCAGCGTTATTCCTCACTGCCATGAAGATGCTATAAACTTCGATAGGCAGTGTATAGCATATAAAAATTAAAGACGGCAAAAGCACGACAAAGTTTTTGTGGATCCTGCAAAATATATTCGAAACAATTCAAAACTGGACCAAAGTCAGTTATTATCTTACTTGTGCCCTCGGTGCAGTTAAGCGAAAAATTGAGAAAAGGCGGTGTTTTCTCTCAAATATTCTGCGACGAAAAATGTTTGAGCGTCCTGCCAAATAATTTCTGTAAATCCGAAAAGAACTCAATAACTTACCATGCCCAACGAGGATGCAGAGAGAAGTGGTCCAGCCACTGGAGCGATCAAGGAGAACGAGGTGCCACCTGCCGAACCCGTTAAAAGCGTCTCGGCCAGCGCCAGCAGCGCTTCGACCACGCCCCCACCCTCCCACGAAGAGGAGAATAATGGCGAAGATGGCGGGGAGCAGGAGCCAGGCGACGATGAGGATGAGGAGCAACTGTTGAGTCGCATGCGTGCTGATGCCGTGGGGGACACGATGTACAGCAGTCGCTTCATACTCCAGACTATGATGCAGCTGAACCAACTGACTCCGGATTCGCAGCTGGATCAGCAACTGGAGGACGATCTGTGTAAGGTGTGGGACATGTCCACCTCTCCGGAGGTGGTCTCCATGCTACTCGAAAACGATGCCGTCGACTCAATTATGTATACAATTATTTCTGCCTGCGAAGATGTGCGCCTCTACGAGATTCTTGTCGGCCTTCTGGGCAATCTGTGCGCCCAGGTGGATTGCGCGGTACTGCTGACCAGCAACCCGGAGTTTATGGAAACTCTCTTTAAGATGGCTAACTGCATGGACACTGGAATGCTAGTGCAACTGATGCGACTGTATCAATTCATCATGGCGCATGTTCTGAGCGGGAAAGAGCAGTTTGCTGTCGACTGGTACGTTTGTTTTGCCGCCTTCGAGAACTCTGCAGCAAATCTCGGCAAGATCCTACAGCAGTCTGTCAGCGATGAGCTCTTAACCGCCGCTCTGAAAGCCACAAACGCTATTCTGGCAAGCTGCGCCTTGGTGGAGGAGGAAAATTCAAACTCTGCCTTGAATTTAAAACCATTCTCGGAGGTATTCCTGGTGCAGGAGCTCTGCAACGGAGTTAACATTGCCTTCCTGCGGCTCATGCGCGACGATCAGTCCAAGTTGTCGGACGAGGAAGCCGGCGCAGAGGAGGGAGAAGTACCAGCTGCCGTGGCAGATAGTGGAGAGGATGCTGATGTTGGCTACGAGACGTGTGCCCCGAAAATAAGCTGTGATGTAGAGATCATACAAACCTACCTCAACATTTGCACCATTCTGGTACAGTTGCCAGAGGCGCAGAATTCCATGGACATTTATGCACCCAACATTGTCAGTTGTCTCACGCGGATCCTGCAGTTCCTGCAGCAGCCTCTGCAACTCTTCCCCATGGGGGAACGTCAGGAGGAGTATCTGGAAGATCTGGCTCACATATGGAGCGTGAGTTCATCATTTATCAGTTCTCCATACACATTTTAATTTTAATCTTATTCCGACAGCGCATAAAGTACTTCTATCAAACGGAGGCGTTTACAAACCTGTTAGAAGTGTGGTTTAGGCTAAAGAAGCATATCGATAACTACACAGAAAACGATGAGGAAGATGTCAACGATTTTGAGGACGAGGAGGAGGAAGACGTTCCCAAGGAGCAGTATGTGGATAATGCATTGAAAGTACTGCGCCTTCTTGCCTGCATGTTGATTAAAGCAGGCAGCATAGATCTGCAGGGAATAGGCGAAGAAAAACTTCAGCTGTTCATGTCCTCTCTAAAAGCCGAGGAGGATGCAATCTTCTCAAGCGCGTTTGAAGTCCTAAATGAGGTTTTGGAAAATGAAACCAGCCAAGGCCAAGCCTGAGGATTATCTCCAAAATGGTAAACAAAATGACTGAGATTGTAGCTTCGAACAGCACAATAAATTTGTAACTTAGTAAGGTTTTTGTATTTATGTAACTATGGTAATTCAGAGCCGATAACTTGAAGCTTTTGACGCATCATGTCGCTCCAGGATTGTTTCCCCAGGCGCACACCCTTTTCTCCCGTGCTGTTAATCAACAGGCGATGTTTGTTCACGTTGGTCAGCAGGAATTTGTTTCTATCCTCGCTCAAGGCATGAGCCACGTGCTCCAATTCCTTTTCTAAGCTCACTTTGGAGGCGCTGATTTCAATGTTGAGATCCTGCTCAATGGTCTGGGAAATGTTGATGATTGCTTCATCCTGTAAATTATTAGCCTCTATTTTACTGTGACCCTCGAGCTCGGAAAGCTGTAGATTCAAGCTGCCGCCTTTGGAGACCACCTGTAGATTGCCATGCACGCCCGCTAAAAAATTCGGAAAGATAGTAAAATAAATTCTTGTTTTATGATATACTCACTCATATTAAGCTCTGCGGATTGGTGAACGTGCACCTCACTTGTCTTATGGACGTTCTTTAGTTCCAGGCGCCCAGTTTCGGTTTGAAATTTTGACTTTTCAACATAACAACAGTCGGTTATAATACTTCCAGCCTTGGTAGAGCAATTCAGATTGTCTCCCTGCAATTTGTCCATGGAAATGTTCTGCATAGATCAAATATTATTAGAAGAAACCAAGGTTTTACACTGATTTAAATCTTACACCATTGTGAGTCTCTATCTCGGTTATCTTCCCCAAGAGCGTGCCCTGGCAGTTGATGTTACCGTTTTCGCTGTATAAGGAAATTTCTGTGGCCTTTACGTTCTTTGTGGTAATGCCGCCTTCAGCTTCCACCTTCAGAAGCTCGCCTTGAGTGTTTTCCACACGCACACCGGCTTTTCCCTCCACACAAACTTCTGACCGGACGGGGATCTGAAGGTGGCACTCGAACTGCGTTGGGTCTTGTGAAAGTTTCTTGACTTTAACGTTGACTTCCTTCTCTTCGTTCTGCACTTTAACATCGAGGGAAACGTTTGAGTTTTTGACTTCACCGCCCTGCAGCTGGGCTATGAACACATCGCCGCTGGTATAGAGATGCACGTCGGCCGGCTGGATACGCACGAAAATATCCGAGACAACTTTAATCCTGGCATAAGGGTTTACATAACGCAGGATCTCCTGGTGGACCATTCGCTTGTTTGAGCTCATTTTAGGCTTCAGGTTGCCCGGTGACTTTTTGGCGTATTGCCGCAGGGTTTTGGTCAGATGCGGTAGCCAAAGGCGTTGCAGGAGCATTGTGGAAAAGGCACCAGAAACGGCCTAACTTTTGTTTATTTTTGAATCTGATTGAAGTCAGCTGCTAAGTGCTGAACTTCTCAGCACTAAGGTTAAAGGTGTTTTGCAGCACCTAAAGTTATCGATTTATGGAATGCGCTTATCAACACTGCTGCCAGCCATTCCAGTTGGAGTTTTTCAGTGTTCTTCGACGGTGCAGTTTTCTTGGTGCGCAGCAGAAAATTGTGAATCTATCTAATACTCCCAAAAGAAAAACAACAAAATGTCTGGAAAAGATAGGCTACCGATTTTCCCGTCCCGTGGTGCCCAGATGTTGATGAAGGCACGTCTGGCGGGTGCCCAAAAGGGTCATGGACTGCTCAAGAAGAAGGCTGACGCCCTGCAAATGCGATTCCGTATGATTCTGGGCAAGATCATCGAAACGAAGACCCTGATGGGCGATGTTATGAAAGAGGCCGCCTTCTCGTTGGCCGAGGCCAAGTTCACATCGGGCGACATCAATCAGGTGGTGCTTCAGAACGTGACCAAGGCCCAGATCAAGATTCGCACCAAGAAAGACAACGTTGCTGGCGTTACGCTGCCCGTTTTCGAGTCCTACCAGGACGGAGCCGACACCTACGAGCTGGCCGGATTGGCCCGTGGTGGACAGCAGTTGGCTAAGCTTAAGAAGAACTACCAGAGCGCCGTCAAGCTGCTCGTGGAGCTGGCCTCTCTGCAGACGTCCTTCGTCACCCTGGACGAGGTTATCAAGATCACCAACCGTCGTGTGAACGCCATCGAGCACGTCATCATCCCACGCATTGATCGTACCTTGGCGTACATCATCTCCGAGCTGGATGAGTTGGAGCGTGAGGAGTTCTACCGCCTGAAGAAGATCCAGGACAAGAAGCGCGAGGCCAGGGCCAAGGCTGATGCAAAGAAGGCGGAGCTCTTGCAGCAGGGAATTGATGTCCGTGAGCAGGCCAACATTCTGGATGAGGGCGATGACGATGTGCTGTTTTAAGTATTCTATCCGTATTGGATTTATTCCAGCAATATTATTGTTAAACTACTGTTCTGTTTCCATTTTAATTCGCAAATCGCAAAGGCAAGCCACAAAACTAATTGTACGTATGTAGCAAAGTGTGTTGTAGTCTATTCCAATAAGAAAAAAGTATGTATTCCATTTTGTAGTGTAGTGTAAGCTGCGCAAATCATGCATTAAAAACTTGTTGTTTCATACAAAGCATATTGTGTGTAATTCCTGCAAAAAAGTGCATCAAAATAAAGGAATCTTTCGTTGGAAAAAAGGTCATCTGACTTGTTTTATACAATAGCAAAAAAAACATTAGGTCACATGACAGCAAACATATGTCTGATTGGGAATAGTGTTGGGAAGCGCTCGCTTTAATTGCTTGCGGGCAATCAGCTGTTCGCTTGTTGGCTTTTCAGATTGTGACACGCTTATAGCGAAATATTTTGTATTTATTGCACAAAAATGACCAACGCAGAGTTTCAGGCTGTGGTATTGGCGGCTGGGCGGGGCACTCGTCTGCCGGAGGTGCTGGGCGATGCTCCCAAGTGCCTGCTTCCTGTGGGTCCTTACCCGCTTCTGTGGTATCCCCTAAATCTGCTGCAACAACACAATTTTTCAGGTAATTCAGTTGCCACGAATATATATCTAAATATAAAGAGTGCTCATGATCTCCACAGAGGTTATTGTGGTTGTTCTTGAGCAGGAGAAGCTGGAGATCCAATCGGCAATGGAAAACACACCCCTGAAGCTGAAATTGGACTATGCCACAATACCCGGCGACAGCGATTTCGGTACCGCTGACAGTTTGCGCTACATCTACGACAAAATCAAGTCTGACTTTCTGGTGCTGAGCTGCGATCTAGTCAGCAATGTCAGTTTGTACCCACTGATCAACAAGTTCAGGGAACACGACGCCTCTTTGGCCTTACTCCTCTTTCCCAGTGGCTTTGAGTCCGATGTGGTGATGCCGGGACCAAAGACCAAGCACAAGCCAGAGAGAGATGTCATTGGCATCCATGCGGCCACGCAAAGGCTGGCTTTCGTGTCTGCCGCCAGTGATTGTGAAGACACCTTGAATATCCAGAGACACCTTCTAAAGAACCGTGGCCGATTGGATGTTTACAGTCGACTAGTGGATGCCCATTTGTATGTCCTCAAGAAATGGGTCATTGACTACCTTCACAGGGTATGTTCGGGCATGATTTTAGATAAAACTGTTTGTTAAAATTCGATTTTGCAGAAGGAGAACATATCGACTTTCAAGGGAGAGTTTTTGCCGCATCTGATCAAGAAGCAGCATGCCAAAAGGGCACCAAAAACAGTGCAGGATACCACCTCAGATGTGGGTGTTGTTACCAAGAATGAGGACCATGTTTTGCATGTGAGTGATTTATACTTAAGGGAGTTATTGGAAATTCGAGTAATCGTGATCCTTTGTAGTACGTTCCCCACACCATTCTCGACCAGAAGATCACGCAGTCATCGCTGTTCAACCAATCTTTGTCACATGGACCTTACCATGGCGATGTGGTGCGCTGTTATGCCATTCAGGGGCCCAAAGACGCTTTTGGAGTGCGGATAAACAATACCCTTAGCTTCCTGGCCATAAATCGGAAGTTGAGCGGCATCTGGAATGGTTTGTGCGGCGAGTCCCATCCGCTTATCTCAACCGGTGCCTTGGTAAAGTCCACACAAACAAAGGAGATTATTGCGGCCGACAATGCCAAGCTCTCTGAGAAGACTTCCCTCAACTTCAGCGTGTTCGGCCCCAACTGTGTCATCAATCCGAAGAACATTGTAAATAACTCTATCATCATGTCCAGCGCCGTTGTCGAGGAAGGATGCAACATAGACAATTGCATCATTGGCCACCGAGCTCAGGTGAAGACTGGCTCTGTTCTCAAGAACTGCATCATTGGTCCCAACTATGTGGTGGAGGAAGGCACTCACAGCCAGGCTGTGCATTTGTCGAACGCCGACCAGTACATGGAGATAGACATACAGTAATTGTTTAACTTATGTGGCTTCCTTTATTAACGAATTGAGTTAGAAGGCGGATTCTTCTAGCAGGACATTAAATATTACAAATAGGTACTCAAAACTCGCGCTTGGATTTACCAGGGAGCTAGGGAAGAGAGCTTAAAGCTAACAGAGTTACGCACAGAGTTTGGGGAGGGGGCGAAATGTACACGAGACAACGACAAGACTGTTTTCTGCTCACTCCATCTCTCATCCGCCTTACTTCCTCCGCTCGTAGAGGTACTCATCCTCGTAGTACCTCGGCGTTGTGGCGATAAAGACCTGCGGCCGGCGCTGCTGGAGCGAGATATTGATCTCCTCGGGCGTGCGGAAGACTTGTTGCTGCTGCTGTTGCAAGTGTTGCAGCTGGGGGGCGGCGGTGAAGAAGCGATACGGCGCCGGCGTCACGGTGGGCGCCAACGTTTGTGGCCGCTGCTGGTGAAGCTGCAGCTGCGGCTGGTGGAACTGTAGCTGTGGCTGGACGGTCGTGGCGGGCAGTGGCTTCCTGTAGGCCAATGTCGTGGGCTGTGGTTGCGGCTGGTGGCGGATCTGCGTCACCACCTGAGGCTGTGGGGCAGCCGTCTGATGCTGCACTTGCTGATGCTGGGGCTGCTGGTACTGGACACGCACTTGCGGCTGCTGCTGTGGCTGCTGGTAGGCCACAACTTGGCGATGTTGCTGCTGGGGCTGCTGCTGCTGGATGCGATGGTGGTGCTGTTGTGGCTGCTGCTGAGGCTGGATGCGTGGCCTGGGTGCGGGCTCCTCCTCCTCTTCGTCATCGTAACGCTCGTGTTCGTAGTAGTTTTCCGGGAAGTAACGCTCCGAGTAGCGAAGCGTCACATTAGGCTTGCTCTGGTGCTCCTGAAGATTGATGGGCTTGTACAGGTAATCGTTCACAATATGATACTTGGAGGATTGCTTGCAGATGTTATCGTGAGAGGGTGGCATACAGATCAGATGGATCTGATGGAAGGTGAAGCCCTCTGGGCAGATCCATGAGTGCTTCTGGCTATCCTGACAATAGTGGAACACCTCACAGCTCAGCGATTCATCGGCATAGTAACTATTGAATGGAAATGTTAGTAAACTAGGAGTATCATAAGTGATGAGTCTTACCCAGAGTTCCTGTCATTGCAGCTGAAGGAGGACTTGCTCAGCAGAGTGGACAGGCGATCGGGCTCCTCAACTTCCTCCTCCTCCTCTTCGCTCTCTTCACTGAGTGGCTTCTTGAGCTGGCCCTGGATCTTAAGGAAGTTGCTCTGTTGCTTGGCATTCCTGTTGACATAGACCTGACGCGGCGGCTCCTCCTGTTCCTCCTCGCTGTATTCGTACAGCTGGCGCTGCTGCTGTGGCTGCTGGCGGTAGGCCAGATGCGTCTGGGCCTGCGTCTCGAACTCGTCCTCCTCCTCGGCTCCGCTAGCATTGACGTCCAACGAGCGTGCCTCGAATCCTTTCGGTTTGGCAGTAGTGGCCGTTGCCGCGGGAGCACCGGTGGCTGCCGCCTCAACACTGCTGACCCAAAGGCCAGTGGCCACAGCCAGGACTAGCAGAAGGGCTGAATGGATGCTGCAATGGAAAACCCAATCAATTGATGAGTCAGGCTACTTTATGATATGGGAAACTCTGTGGCAAGAAGACAATCAGGCCAGCACAAACAAAAAGAAAATATGTATAAAAACGCGGGAAAATATTTGTGCGAACCTTTTCGCTCGTCGGCGAAGATGCCGCCAAATTGCTGCCAAAGAAGGCAGCATCATTGGATCGTCATCGGCATCGGCAGCCCAGCGACCAGTTATGCAAGAGACCAGGCCAAGCCAGGCCAGACCAAACCAAGCCAGAAAACTTGTTATAAGGCAACACGGCAAGTCCCCAAGATCGAAACGGGCCACGGAGATCTCGAGGTAGTACATGAAGATGCAACTGCAGCTGGGAAGGCTAGGAAAGCTGGGGGCTCTGGGAATCACTGATCATTGGCATACTCTGGACGGGTATCTGAGTAAACTAAGAGAACCTCTTAAAAACTTGGACTTCAAGAAGTTGGTCTAAAAGTTAAAATCAAATTGTACTTTGATAAGTTTAGTCTGGAAATGTGATGCATGTTTAATCCACTGTAGGCACTCTAATCTAATAGCTTATGTACCCCAACAATAGTGGGTATAATGAAGATGCTCAGCTGGCGACGGGTTCAATTTGAACGCCATTTACCCGAGACCCACTCACTCACAAAACTCGACTTGGCTGAATGTCAACTGCTGTTCATACGCATAAATATAGCTACCCCTGTGGCGGAGGGTTGGGGAATTCCTGGCCTGGAAATGACTGGCCCGGTGGTGCTGGGCAGCAGTCCAATTAACCAACGTTACGTGCCTGCATCTAATTGGGGCCATAAAGTCTCTGGCCGAGTAACAGTCTCACAAATAGTTGGGCAAGGTGAAATATGCGAGCCAATTGAATGAAAGAAAAAGTGCCTGTGGACTTTTACTTTTCACGCCGAACAATCGCCTGTCCGGCTGAGTGAGTGACTTTGAACCCATTAAGATTACGGCGGATTCTTTGTTATTTTTGTGGCCAGACCGACCAATAAATCTGGAGAGCATCTTATGCAAGTATCTATCGAATTTTCCAGCTGGCAATTTGTCAGCCTGTCGCTTGGCAGCTGAGGCTAAAGCTAAATCTGAATCTGAAGTTGCAGTTGCAAGTTGGACCTTTGAACTTTAAGCGGAGCGGAGCTGCCTGGGACTACTGCCACCGTTGCCTGTTGCATTGTCACTGTCAGCAAACCTTTTGCGCAATGGCCATGGGAATCCGTGGTAGCCCCCGAGGGAAATGGATTCCCCACCTGCAAATGCAAATTGCTCCTGGCATTCCGTTAGATGCGCATTCCATCCCGGATTGCTCCACTTGCGATCAAAGCTTGTCTGCCATAAATGGAGAATTGGTTGCATGTCCCGGGATCACTGTGTTTGTGTTTGTGTGTCTCCAGCTTCGACTCTGGTCCAGATGCAGACATTATCGCACTGCAGTTACATCATGCAATGGAGCAGCACATGTAGAGGCGATGCGTTTTGATGTTGATGGTTTTCATCGACCCCAATCCCCCAAGCCCCAGTCCCCAATCCTAGATACTCTGTATGCAGCATGCAGTCCAATCCCCGATCTCCACCTCGTACCCACTTCTGGCTAACCACAAGACTGGAGTCTTGAGGCCGACGTTGTCGGTTTCGTTATACATTCAAAGTCTGAGTTGATTTTTTGTGTGCCACCGGGTTTTCTTGCGTATGGAACTCGGACTATATTTGCTTTTGATTTCCTTAAATGTTGGGTGTGCGTCATGTTAGGTGGGCATTTTTGGGGTGACATAAGCGCGCAAATAGTTGCAGTTTCGGGTCTGGATCTTACGACATTTTTGAGCCACAGCCAGAGAGTCGAAGACAGCCACCTGCATTTTGATAAGTGCGCTGATTTTTGTAGTGTAAATTTTGTTGTATAACTAGCTGATGGCCTGTCTGCATTTTCCTGGGCAGTATGCAAAGAATTAAGAGTTTGAAGTGCTTTAACCACTTAGCGGTTACCATTACCGGGCTGCCCGCTGTTTTTTTGTATTTTTCTTTTGGGGAGGGAGAGCTGCCTTCCCATTCCCATTTTCATTTCGGCTCTTTAGCATGTAATTTGTTTGCATTTGCCTTTGCCCAGTCAAGTCAAGTTTGTTGCCTAAGTCTTTTGTTTTCACTTGCTCCACTGAATAGACTGGCATGCTAGTTATTTTATTTTTATTCAAGTGCTTAATTAAACACAAGCTCGTTAACACACAACTCCCGAAGCCATTAAACTGTGTGAAACATGGAAACCCAAAAATAAATTACACTGCACTGCTTTAATTTCATTTTTCCACTTTTTCCATTGTCCACATTTTTGTTTCTTGTTATTTTCTTAAGTTTTTTTTTTTTTTGTAACAAATTAAACTCTGTTAATGTGCGTGCAGTTAGTAAGGTTGATTTTAAATGTACTGGAAATTTACGATTGCCTGATTTCGGGCATCTGGATATAATGTGGCCCCCTAATGGCTTGGCAATGGATTTTATGTTCAGTCGTTTTTCGCTTTTGTCTCTTTTTTTCTATTTTGTCTTTTTTTGTTATGCTGCGGTAATTTTCACAAATTTGTGACCTTCGCTGGGGCGGCCTTAAGTGGGTGTGTGACTTGGTGTGGTTTTAATGACGGGCGAAATTCAACAATCGTAGCCAAACAAAAAGTGAAAGAAATCAATTCGATGGCAATTTATTAATTGCTCCAAAACACACCCCTCAACAACTGACCAAAATATCGAAAGTCATTACTCCCTTGGGCGGTAGGTGGTGGCGGTAGATGGTAGATGGCAGGCGGTGGGCGTGGCAATTGGCAGCACGCTTGGGCAATTGCGCATTTCTGTGCGTCGCTGTAATTCCAAACGATGAAATATTGCGTATACGCCTCGTGTGTCGCTAGTGCGTGCATTTGATACAATTGCCGTTCATATTTGCAGTTGTCTTATATAACGCCCGCGAGTGAGTAATCCATACGACTTTTTAGAAAGGACCACTAACAGTTTCCCCCCTTTGGTTTATGATGCAATCTGTCACGGAGATTGGATCTCACTATCCAGCAGGCGTGACCCAGTCCAAGTCCTAATCGATTGATCTCGGTGGTCAGTCTCGGACATTCGATTGGCATAAAATATACACGTGCTTAGAGCTGGGATATTACACTGTAATCAGTTTTGTAATAATTTGCTTGCGAATTTTATTGAAAGAGCTAAGAAACTCTATTTCAATAAAAACTAAGTTTTTTTTTTAGAGGTCAAAAACTCTAACCTTTGTAGTAATGTTCTAGTAGGTATTATAGCTTCTGAAAATATGAATTCCAAGAAACCAAATACGAAAATGAATATAAAACTTTATAGATTGTTAAAAATGTGTATAGTTTTTTTAAATAACTATCATTTGAATATAAAATGAATAATTATTCCTAATCGATTGATCTAGCCGCAGTGGAAACCCAAGTTATTAGCCATAGGATTGGGTAATCCAGCCAAGCAAAGCCACATATATAAAAATAAGTACACGAACAAGATCTCCCCCCGGAGGGACTTGCAGCTGCCTCAATGAGCTGTCAGTTCCAGCAGACAAAAGCGAAAACTCCCACGCCAAACAAAACAAATACAGAAATACGGAAAGGTATTATGGTGTGTTAGGAAAAGTCAGAGCAGCACTAAGTAGTTGCTTCTGTTTTCGGTTTCTGTTACGTATGTATCTTGCTGGCTGGTTTTGAAATCGCCCAAAAGAATATTTTGTGGTTGCCAAGCGGCCCACAGTTCAAAAAATGGGACCGAGAGAACCCCAATAAGACAAAACCAAACCAAACAAAACCAAGACAATAACAAAATGTTAATTATTGGCTGGGACTGCAGCACGAATTTGTGGCCTGCGGGCAGACCAAGTCCAGGTTCAAATCCCCATGGTATCTGGGACTATGATTCATAGTCCCCAGAGTGAATCAATGGGTGGGGGCTATCAAAACTTACTGCATTCTGCGTCGGATGCTTTTGAGGTATCCAATTGAAATAAATCAAATGTGTTAATCCTTTTGGTTCTGCTGGATCACACTTAATCACTGGATGTCACTGAATGTTTGATTCTCGATAATCACTGGATTGCACTGGGCAGCACTCCTCCTCCACAACTTCTTCGATTTCTTTTAGCTGCTGCAGCTAACGGTTCACTCGTCCAGTTCGAACAACAAAATGAATGACTTTCTTTGGCTTGTTTATGTTTTATACCAAAAATCCCCTCACAGCCAAGCCGCCCATTGAGAGTCTTTTCCAGAGAGTCTCCGTTGCCGTTTCTCTGCTTGGCTCACTCTTCGGGTCTGCTCTCAGACAATTCTCACAGAGCCACTCAAAAAAGTATCTGCGTCTTGAGTGAGGTTTTCCTCGTTGCTGCCCAAGTTCGTTTCTTAAGTCTTTTGATTTGCACAAGGAAAAATTGGATTTTTAATTGATTTAAAAGAGTTTATTTATTTGAATGAAATGTACACTTTATAAAATTAATTACATTGTTTTTTAATCCGTTTTGTAGGATAATAAGGAAATATTTGAGTTGAATAATAAAAACACCATAAAAGTCGCAAGTCTTTGATAATTAGACTCATAAATGGTAATAAAATATCCTTTGTAGATAAGATATTTCAAATTTGATAGCTGACCATTTTTCTCTCTGCTTGGACAAAGTCTGACAGTTTTATTTGGGCTCGTCCATTAGTCATAAACCAATTGATATTACTCATGCAGTGAAATATATCAAGATCTGTAACTGTTTTTGGTTTCGGAAAAGGCCTTCCACATCATACATTTGCATTCGCGTCCATCAGATACACTTAAGTGGCCGTCGAACAGCCAGATAGAAGGTGCTCAGATATATAGTGTAATTAACATTTTCGCTGTTGATTTTCTCAGCCTTCGGTGCGCATTTTGCATGTTTGCTATTTTCAATACGGCAACAGCAGCAACAGCAACAACAGTTGCAATGCTAGAGTTGTAGTGAAAAAAAAAGAAATAAAAATCATTTGCGCCGGTTTCTTCAACGAGGCTGCGATGCTCCCACAACGAACTTCAGACCGCAGAAACCTGTGCGGCAACTCATCCGCCGAATGAAATGCTAAAAGCTGCACACAGACACGCCACAAACACACGGACACACACTTGCCGAGGGATGCATTTGTTTGGCTAATATGAATTAATTTACAATACAGCAGACGCCTACAAAAGAGGTGTGAGGGGGTGGCGACGCCTCCAACTCGTTGGCGTCTGTTGAACTTTTGCGTTTCTGTGCCGTTACTGCTGCTGCTGCTGCTGTTGCACTTGTATCTGCATCTGCTGCTGCATCTCAATCCGTATCTGAATCTGCAACTGTATTTTTATTTTGTTTTTTATCTTTTCGGCGAGCAGCGTTCAAGCATTTCAAATGCTTGGCGTTCAATGTCTGGACACTGACCGCAGCCTGTTACCCACAACAAAGATCGGGGGATACAATTTTTATATATATAGATTGCATTTATATATAAACGATTTGGCAATGCATGCAAAGAAGCGTAACGCAAAGAAAGTGCAGGCCGTTGTTGTATTGGTTATGATTGCTGGTTGAAAAGTGTTTGAAGCCTGGCGAGGTGATATAACAAGTTCACATAATTTGCTGGCTTTTCTTTTTGGTTTTCAGCTGCCTGTTTTAACTATCCATTCCACATTACATATTTCCACTAGTCGAGATAGTAGATGCATATAAACTTACATACTATATGCATATTAACAGCGACAATCAAAAACAAAAGCAGTCACAAACAACTTCATGACTTGATGGTTAATTGCAGGCAGCTAATCAAAAAGCAACGTTCCCAGGCGGGTGTCTCAATTATAATGCATAATTAATAAATGTTATACCGGATTAGTCAGCAAAGGGTGAAAAAGGGGCTTGCCAAAAATGAGAAAAAAAATACAGATAAATACGGGAAAACCAAAATAATGCACCTGCAACTAAGCCAACTCAATGTCGGTGACTCTCGGCTGCGATTGGCCCCTAATAATACGGGTAAAAATTCATTACACGAACTAACAGGCTAACTGGCCAACTGCCTGGCCATTATGCAAAGTCCAAGACCATTCGAAGCCATCCCCAGGCAGGCCACAGCCATTCCAAAGCGGCACGTTTTGAGGAAGTTGATTGTCACAAAACCTCTCATAATCATAACTGTGTTTGCTGCCCCATCAACAAATACTTTTACAACAACAAAAAACAATAGTAATAGTAAAGACAGCGACAACGACAACCACGACGGTCAGGTTCAATGGGGGAAATTATAGACATTGTAGCCACAACAAAACTGGAAAAAACATTGTAAGGCTGAATTCAAAGTTGGCCAAGACTTGGTCAAAATTGCTTAAAAAAGATATCTCTACTTATTACCATCACAAAGCCTTTTTTTTGTAAATTAAACAATTTGATGTGTTAACTTGAATACTGTAAATATTTATTTTTAGATATTAACCTTACTTTCATCTGAAATGCCAGTATTTTTCAGTGCAACCTCCCAGCTGCAATTGAGAATCGGCCACCACTCGGACTTTGGCTTCAATTCAAAAAATATCAAGGCAGAGAAAACCGAAAAAAAAAGAAAGACAATCGGCTTGGAATGGAGAAACATTTCGCATGTGTCCATAGTCCATTGTTTAGTTTATTAACTAATTAGCCCTAATGCTTAATGCTCCACATATTTTCCACCCAAGATGCGAGTGCGTAAGCCTCTTGGTTATGTCACGGTATTTCCACTTGCGAATCCCTCTATCTGGGATTTCACAAGAATGGCGCTATAGTTTTTGATGAAACGAAAAAAAGCGAAAGTAACTCCCAGCTCAGCTTATCCATTAACGTTCTAATAGACACGTCACTCTTGAAGTTCAAGGTCGCATTCGAAGAGTGGCGAATTGAAATTAATTACATCGAACGCGCCCCAAAAAGTTCTCCGGGCTCCATTAATGAGCTTGGGCTGGGGCTTGGATCTGTTTTAGATTAGCAATTCGTTTAATTCACACACGAAATGATTGAGTAATTTGGTTCAGACAGTTCGAGAGGTTTAAGTTTGAGTGTCTTTATTAAGTTTGGATTTAAGAAACCGGGGGAAAAGTGCTTGGTACTTTGTATACTCTAGCAGAGAGTTGTGTAGTTTTAATATAAAAATAAGGATTTTTAATTTGTTAGTAAAAAGTTTTATAGAAAAATATGCTTATCGATTTTTTTAAAGATTGTTACATTTTTCAAATTTTCATAAAAATTCAAAGTAATGAGCTTTGATTTGTTCTAAGATTTTTGTGAACCCTCATAGAGAATAGAACTTTTAATCGTGGAAGGTATTCCAGATCAAATAAAATCGGATAAATATGAACTAATATATATTTATACAAAGGTTTAGAGGTCCAATAGAGGTAGCTAGTAGCTAGTATTAGACAGATAGTAGCCACCAGACATACATGGATATGACCAAACGCCATATAGAGAAACTATAAAAGAGTAACCGAATGCCGAATTTATCAAAAACCATGTCTAGCTTTACTGCCTGGGATTTTTGGGAGTTAATTGAAGCACATTAGCTACGACTGTGCTTAAAGTTATTTAATAGATGATTAAAGAGCCAGAAACTGACATCACCAGCCAGCATCGACCAGCAGCCTCACCCACACCCACAATTGGGTCCGAAAGCAGTTGAGATTAATTCACGGCGCATTCACGCAGCCATAAAAGTTATAAGCATCGTTTACGCCAAGTCAACAATGGGCAAGTATTAGACCATAAAGCCAAAAACTCCAAAGCCGGAACTTGTCCGCCACATGATTTGTAAGTTTTAGCTGGATTGTTGATTGTTTTCCCTTTTTTTTTTTCTTTTTTTTTTTCAGTGTCCATCAAGATCAGATCGGATCAGATTACTGGAAGTTACGTGTTAATACCAACTCTAAAACCAGTGCATTTTATTCCGGAAATGAGTCTGAACTTGACATTGGGGGGGCGTGCCTCGAAGTCAAAGAAATGCAAATTTTTTCGGTCATTCTCACCGTTCATTTTCGAATGGTGAGAGCTTTGAGCGGAAGGAAGTAGAAATCGGAGTTCAATTTATTGTAGGAAGTTTTCAGAGCCAGTTGGAGAATGAAAAACGGTTTTTGAAGTGTCATTTCTGAAAGGGCACTTAAGAATTTGTTTTCCGAGAAAACGCTACCTTTGCCAAATACTTCCCACCACTCGAAAAGGTTGTGTGTGTAATTCAATTGAAATCAATTGCACTGGCCCCTGTCTTACAAATTACCAATCCACGCCAACCTCAAACATCAAGTGCCAACAAAGAAAATTGAAATGGACAAGATTACTTTGTGCTTGTGTGAATGAACACAAAAAAATAATAAAAGATACAAGAAAAAACCCAAAACCAAGCAAACCAAATCCGCTTTTGTCCAATTGTTGCGCACTTGAAGCATGAAGCGTGCCCATGGACCAGGCACCTGATCTGATGGACCGGCCGATGGACAGTTGAAATCCTCCGAATCCATTCCCATTTCCATCACCATCTCCTACTCCGATACGGACCAAGCAATTGGGCATGGCTGGCTGCTTGGCGGCGTTACCAATCCCATGGAGAGCACCACAAAAGAAATGCTGAGTCGCACTTGGACTTGGCCGTTTCTGCCGGGGATGGGGGATCTTGGTGGGCTGATTCGGGGCTAGCGGGCTCATTAATTTCGGTTCAAGGCATCTCTCGTATCACTTTACGTAAACCCGCTCGTTCCGTTGCCGATTTGTAACAATAAAATAAAACGACTTGAAGTGGAGAAGCGAGAAAATAAAAATAAAACTAGAAACACACGAAAATAAATTCGCAATTTTGTTACAATTTTCATTGTGTTGGGGTGCAGTTCAGTTCAAGATCTCTCCCCTCCTTGGACACTCCCAGGGCAACTATTAATTATCACAATTCAGCAGAGTCTGTTTGTTTTTTCTTGGTTTTGTGTTTTTTTTTTCCTTCAGTCCAACCGCCCTATAATTATCCGAGCGGTTCACTTTAATTACCACAGATTTATTAAATGGGTCAGTCGCAGTTGGTATTTTGGGTTTTTGGGTATTTTTTTACTTATGCTGTGAACTTGAAAATTGAAATTGTTGTGCGGTGACCATTTGAAATACAATGCAAGGGTACA